GCGACCATGATGTGAAACGCCTCATTCACCATCTGACTTTAGGCGAGATCGCGACGCGAGACATACGGGGTCACGAGGTGAGGTAGCGGAAACCATAGCTTGGTGTCACCCCCAAAGTAAGACTCGTAGACGCATTGGTAACCAACTGGAGGCGACCATGGGCGCTAATCCTCGGTTGGGACTAAGTAAATAACGCCCACGGCATTACGAGCTACAAGTAGGGTCTCTACTGTCTTGACAGTTGACCACATTCTCTCTGTGTTGGTCCATGATTGTGCATCAGCGGGACAAAGCATCTCTTGAGGAACCGCGGGTACCCGTACGAAGACCCCCATACCGCTGTAGCGCGTTGGAACCTTCGGACGATTGTCTTCCTTTGCCGAACTGGTGTTAGCCCGGCCAGTGCGGGCAGGGCAAGCTCGCCTGGTCTGAGCAGGGCGAGATTGGACACGAACTACGGACCTCTGCCTAGGAGATGGCGGAGACCTAGGACCTCTTACTCGCGGATCATTCATCATTTCCGCGGATTCATTTCCATCGTCTTCCCCCTGAACTCCCTCACTGCGTCGACTACCAGAAGTTTCTCAGATAAATTGAGACCTGCAAAGTCTGTCAGCGCGTTCCACATCGTTAAGTCGAAGTCGTCCAAGGGCTCCCCAGTCGTCGCATCCTTCGTGGGACTCGACAAGGTCACAACAACTTTCCCCTTCTCCTCACGAGTCAATTGTCGTCTCGGAGGTATATCGCTCAATCAACACTATGTAATATACAATTTACAATCTAGAGAAAGAAAGAAGAGAGAAGGGAGAGAGGAGATACCTGTGATAACGAAGAAGTGATGAGAATGAAGAAAAGAGAAGTATTTATAGATGAAGAAGGGGCGCGACTCTCGGAATCATTAATTTGGTCTACTAAAGCCTAATTGGGCCTCTAGTTCACCCGTGACTATTCATTTTTGACCTAAATGGGCCTCAACTCCCATCAATCTTCCATCCTCTCGCGACGGTTCATGTTCTCTCCCACACGAAAGGGCAAGCCAGGGAACGACAATGATCCTTCCGCAGGATCATCCAGGAATTCAACGAGCTAACAACTTCGCAAGCACGCTGAAGCTTATCTCAGAGCTAATGACTCAGCAAGAATGCCGAAGACAATCTCCAAGCTAATGACTACGCAAGCACGCTAAAGCTAATCTCCGAGCTAACGACTCAGCAAGCATGCCGAACCCAATCTCCGAGCTAACGACTCCGCAAGCAAACCGAAGATAATCTCCGAAGGTGATGCTATTTTCTTGCCTGGACATTTAGTAGGAGTTGCTTCTGTATCGGTTGTAGGCATGACTTCAACCTTTAGGACTGGCCATGCTATTTTCTCTCTAACTGCATAACCAATCAAGAACATATTTGCGGTTGGCCTCCACAAATATGCCTGATCATTGAACACCTTCACAACTTCGATTCTAACAGCATTAGGACCTAGAGGTATATTGTTAACCATATCTTTGGATTTAGATGAGCACACAAGACCTTCCGCAATGACCACATCGTCTTCATTGGTCCAATCATATATCTTGCATCTTCGAGATTCATCTTCCTTGGATTGCTAAAATGTAAGAAGGTAATGATTAAAGATACCTCAATTGTTGTAAGAAGAAATCAAGATTTGAAATTTTACCATGGATATATCTTCAGAAATGTTTGGATCCCTATCCAAAATCACTTTATCCATTGGCCAAGATATTTTGTATCCCACCGCATCTTCAAGATTTAACACATCCGTCGTAGGCCTCCAGAGTGAAGCTACTGAGCTTAGTGTAGACTTAACTACGAGAGGCACTGCATTAGGACCAATTGGAATGCGACCAATTTTGTACTTCGGTTCAGCAGAGCAGAATTCTCCTTCACCAACAACAACATCTTCTGTTTCAATCCAATCCAGAATTTGTACTCTGACTCCTTCTTTGAATCCACCACCACTCTCAGATGTTTCAGCATCACCATTACTTTTTCTGAGAGAAGGCAAAGGAAATCAAAAATGTCTTAAAACTAATTGACCAAATCTAATGAAAAGGATTACCTTCTTCGCAGCTAAGTCGCGCACCATGCCCTTTAACTCTTCAAGCTCCATTTTCATTTCTGCAATTTTTGCGTCTCTAAATTGCAGATATGCTAGTTTAGTAGCCGTAATCCCTCTACCAAACCCCCTTACTCGTCCAGGTTTTTCTTTTCCCAAAACCTTGCTCACAGCATCTTCCCTTATGTTATCAGCAGCTGATGTTGAGTCCATCTGACTATCAAGTGACTGAATTTGTTCCTGATACATTCATTCAAACACAAAATAATTCATTATACATAATCAACTTTATTGTCATTCAATCAAAATAATTCATTGACATAATTCTTACGATAGTCTCAGCAAATCGGGCCTTCACAGGTCTACCATCAGCATGAGTGTGTCCCGCAATCCAGACCTTACTCCTACTCACTTTACTGGGTCCTTACTCTTTGTTTCTATATAAAAAGAAACATATCAGTATCCTTGTAATCTAATGTACAATATATATTGGAATACGACCAAAGAGTATAGATATTTCACTACTCTTTTACCATATCTTCAGCTAAACGAAGCATTCCTTTGCGGCTGGTGGTGTGAGGAATCTGATTTCTTCTCATCTCTTTGTACTTGTCACTCATTTCCTACAATATAAATATGACAGTGATTACATCTATAAGAGAAGAACTTTAAGTAATAGATAATTCACTTAGTTGTAGATAATTCACCATGAATTTTTTGGTATTTTTTGGTAGTTTTGCTTTTAAATTTATTCTTTCAGCCGGAGTCTTCACAGCACGTACTTGTGACACTAGCCTCGACTTTCCAGCCCTCCACAAATTTCCCAGCTGATTGAATATAACAGCTTTCTGCCACTCTTCTTGCAAGTTAAACCTCCCCTGCATCACAATATAAGCAAAGGTCAAACATGTTTATAATTTTATCTTGTGGTTCAACAAAAAATATAAATATACAAACCTGAATTTCTTCCCACATTGTTGCTTTAGTAGCTGCATCAAGATTTCTCCAATCAGCAAGTGTAACCGGAACATGTTCCCTCACAAGAGGACCAAGAAAAGACGATAATGTTACTGAACCAGGTTCGATATGTTCACCAAAATCATTGAAGGTGACCATAACCTTTTCATTGGGATTTTCAGAAACCCTACGCATCTTTGTTGGTCCTCTTTTATTTTTTTTCACTTCATTCCCTCCCAGCTCAACTCCTTCAGTACTAGGTATCTCATCATCTTTCTCCTTGCTAACTTCATCTTCTTTCAGATTGAGAGCTTCTTTTTCGTTCTCTTTCTCATTGCTAACTCCATCTTCTTCCATCTGGAAAGCTTCTTCTTCGCTTCCTTTCTCATTGAGAACTCCACCGTCTTCCATACTAGCCGATTCTTCTTCATTCTCTTTCTCATTGAGTACATCTTCTCCATCCTCTCTTTCTATCCCACCATCGTCTTTATCATCTTCAGACAATGTCTTCTCAGCCTGATCAGCCTTATCTTCTTCCGGTGTTATAGCTTCCGGTGTTATATCTTCTACCTCATCATCCTGACCTACATCTACTACTTCATCCTCAACAGCCACTTTGATGATTCTAGTACTTCTTCTCGTTGGCGTTAGAACTAAATTCTTCTTTGGGGAAGCCTTTTTCTTTGTTGTTGTTTTCGTCGCTTTTAGTGGTGTTGTTGAAGCAACTTGCAGAGTTGGATCTACTACCTCCAAGCCTTGTTTACGTCTACTCCAAAGAGAACCAACTTTTCCTCCTCCTCTTGTCTTTGCCATTTCTGAAACTGATAAACAGATTCAATCAAAATCCAAATCAAATTCAAAATCTAATACGAACATCACAAACTTGGACATGCATGTGTTAACAGAAAGTAAGAATAGAAACCCAAATTAAAAATCGGAAAAATCAATCAAAATTGAAACCCCCAATCTAAACAGAAACCTAAAATCAAACGAGATTCGAATAGAAGAGATACCAATCGACATGCATGTTCACACAAACACATAATCGAATCGAAGAGATACCAATCAAAATCATAGAGGAAACTTTCTAATCTAAACTCAGAATCAAATCGAGATCATACCAATTGACGCTTCGACTCGAGAGATCTCTCAGGATTTTCTTCGTAACTATGAAGAAAAAGGGTTCCGGTTCTAGAATGTGAAGAGAGTGAAAAGAGTGAAGAAAATGAGTAGGAAAAGGACTTAAGTATTTTTTCATATATTTTTCTTATACGATAGCAATTATTTTTTTATTTGCAATGGTAAGGCGCCTCCACTTACCAAACAAACGCGGGTGAATTATTTTATTTTCCCGCAAATACAAACATAGCTTTTAAAATTTATAAGCGCTATTATAAAGGCCCGTGTTAGTATACAATAGAAGAAATGCTAAAAACGCTATCCTGCGATGCTATTAATACCCACATTTCTTGTAGTGAAGCATGCCAAAGCCATGCTCTGAGCTGACGACTCATCGAGCGTGTCGGCATCCGAGCCACGAATCATCGCTCGAAAGAACATCGGAGCATACTGACCGACCCTATTATTCAACGGACCAAATCAACAAAATCCGCCCCGACTTAAGTCATAACTCTGCAGCGGATCTGGGGGACTTACTGTAGGGGGTGGAATACTCCCCTTTATAAGATCCACTGAATAATGGGCTCATCCGACCCTATTGTTTCCTCATTTGTAAACCCAACTCTTTCATTAATAAAACTATTCTTCCACTCATAAATAGCAAAACGCCTTTGAAATAACCCACAGACGAGGCCAATCACTCTCTTATTGATAAGATTGAACTCGGTTTGAACATAAACGCTGGCTGTTGAGCTAAAAGATACACAACTGCAAAAACGAAACATTCAAATCAAAACTTGGAAAGATTGAAAGGGCTCCTCGAATCATAATCCAAATCAAAGGTTATGTTTTTAATATTCGTCAACAAAGACCCCACCTGAGAATATAACAGAGAACCAGACTGCAACTCGATAATCCATAACCAACGAAACCGCAGTGAGAAAGATCTTAGCATAAAGTAAGCTATCTGCAACGAAGGCCTCCCACGTTTCCTCCCTAACCATCTATTATCAACAATCGATCAAGTATTACACTTTTTAAAGCAAATTCGATTAAAATGTGAAGAGAAAAGTTGAAACCTTTATGGCTGAAAACATGAGGAATGATAGAAAGGCTTGGACTTCTCTGTCGAAGAGTCGATGAGAAATGTACAGTGCGGCGGAGCTGCGGATCGGAAGGTAAGAGAAGAAAGCCATGAGCATGGATCTGATACGATCTGCGAAACCCTAACCACCTCTATATTAAAATGCACCTTTTGGTGGAACCGAAGAAAGATCAAACCAAGCTGAAAACCAACAAGTTAACTGAAACCGGAATTGAAGTGGATCCCACACGATTTAAGGATTGATGACGTAGCTTCTTAAGGGATAGACAAAAACTCCCTCATTATATATACTAGGGTCTTTCCCGGGCTACGCCCGGGATAATTTTGGATAACATCACTACAATACTGATCTTGTGAACTGAAAATAAAATTATATGTTTATCAAATATAAACTTGTTTAATGTTAAGATGGAAACAAATTTTGTTTATGCCTATGTATTTGTTTGTCATCTGAAACATAGAGTGGTGAAAGATCTAATTAACTTTATAGTTTGGGTAGATTTGAATTATATAGTAAAAAATATGTTTAAAATTTAGATACATGAACCTTTTATTAATTATCAGCACATAATTTCTTTGGCATCACTTGTGAAGAACTAAAGAGTAAGAATGTTGAAAAATATATCTACGATAATTCTCAAATTTTGTTTACCTTTTGAATTTCTAGCATAAATTATATGATGTGTTCTTCAGTTAAACAGCAACACCAATGAGTCGAGTTAATCAAAAAAAAAAAAACAGAAAAATCTTTTTTTAGATTTATATAAGTGAAGCAATGTGGAAACTATAATTTTTCGGTAACGACAAAGTATTGTCAAATATATATGTACGTTTTCATTAAAATATGAGTTAAATCAGGCCTCATATTTCTTGTATATATTCTAAAAATCATTTTTCTTATATATATTGTATGATAAAGATTTAAAAAAATATGATTAGGATTTGTAAAAGGTCAAAGTTATCTCTAAATGTTACGATACATACAAATGTACACATGTTATATTCGATTTTGTAAATAGTCAAAAGTTTTGGTATGATAAAAAAAAAAGTTAAGTCAATAAAGTTGACTATTCTCCTTTCTTAGGGTGTCCACCTCAGCTTTTGTGAGGGGGGCAAAAAAAGACATGTCAGCATTTACTAATTGAAATCAAACTGGACAAAATTAATTCTCATCTCGGTTTGTCACATCCTAGTTTTTTGAGTTTCTGAAAAAATGGGTTTGGGCTTTCAAATATAATGGCCAGTTATATAATGATTTATGTATTACCCAACTTGCAGATTTTTTTTTAGATTTAGACACATTTTCAGTCTGTTAAATCGTCTTCTTACGTTAGGTTTCAGATATCAAACCAGCGGTCATCTTTTTGTAAAGTTTTTTTTTTTACTTTTTTGTAAAGTTTGTTCTCATGCATCCTTATATTTCATATAAAATAATTAACACTTGCACAACTTATAACTAAACAAGGTGCATAGTTTGTATTACATATATTGCAACATCTTCAACGTTTTAGTGTACACAATTTAAAGTAACAAATTATAATAATTAACACAAATTAATAGAATTATGAAGATACCATCATAGAAAATTATGAACACTTTCATAATTCATATAAGATTACACAAACTACAGAGCTAATGAACACTTGCACAACTTCTAAAAAATAAACAAAGAGCAGAGCTTATATCACTTTGTTTAAACAAAGGTCGGAGCTTATATCACTTTGGTTTATGATTGCCACATATATAAGAATATGTTCAAAAAAATGATTGCCACATATACAAAGTTTTAGATGAGAAATTTATAAGTAACAAACTGATAATAATTGATTAACACAAAATAATAAAATTAAGAAGTTACCATTACAGAAAATTATGAACACCTGCACATCTCATAAAAATTAGACACATTTCAGAGCTTATATAACCTATATTGACATATCCTATACGCTTAGAAGACAAGTTTATAAACAACAAACTGCTAAAAATTAACAAAAACAAAAATTGGATTTAAGAAGCTATAACCTTACAAATTAAAGTTTATCGTTGCAGCGTGCCTACACGCCTCCCAACTGAATGATTAGCTCACACTGTAAATGCAGTGTAATTGCAAAAGCCAGTAGTTACGTATCTCCTACATTCTTTCACTACACAGTTCTGATGCAACCTCTTGATTCCTAATTACTCAACCATTACGATTTTCAGAAATAATGGTGAAGACGCCAGTTGAATTTAATGGCAAAGCAACCACGNCTACACAGTTCTGATGCAACCTCTTGATTCCTAATTACTCAACCATTACGATTTTCAGAAATAATGGTGAAGACGCCAGTTGAATTTAATGGCAAAGCAACCACGGGAGATCTCCCAAAAATCTTAGTGTTTCTGAACACTCCACCGCATCATCATCATATGTAACCAAAAGAAGTCATAAAAAGAAAAAAAATTTGGTTCAAAGGAGACGTAAACTAATTCTTTATGACTTTGACAACTTACTCTTTTGTAAAAAAAAATTATGTACTTATTCCTACTCTTAAATCTTTGTACCACCAGTATCTGAACCACGGCAGCCTTGGCTACAAGATAAATATCTACCACGCACACCAGGCCCCCCTCCCCCCCATATCGGACACCTATCAGCTGAAGCTCATCTTGATAGTGAGGGAATAAATCAGTACTTCTTCCACCACAAATCAATCAAAGCACTCAATCACCTCACATGTGCCAATCTTCTTATGGAAAATACGATAAGGGTATGTATCTTTGGGGTTTAGTATTGTTGTGCAGAGGAAACCTCAAAGAAGGAAAATATTTCTTTTATATCCTTGACTAGGAACACACACTATCAAAATCCGAGCGCTGCTGGAATAAGATTAAGAGGTTCAAGTACTTTGGATATCCGATCAGATTTCTTTGATACACTACTATGGCAATGCTATCAAGAAACTTATGTTCGGGACAAGAACGTTCTCTGAAAACACCGCACCTGACGGTGGACCACTGGCAGAGGACACTGAGCATATGAAAGCTATGTTTGAAGCATTAGGGTTTAAGTTCGCCTTTTGTATCTCTGATTATCTATATATGCTCACGGGACTTGATTTTAACGGTCACGAGAATGGTGGCGTTTAAGATATAAACGATCAATCTAGGATTGTTACTATTTTGTGTATAAGATATAAACAATCAGTCTAGGATTGTTACTATTTTAAGAGGACGGTATATTATCTTCCTTGAAACAACATAATCACAAAACAAACACAACTATTTACATTTTTCATTTACAAACATGAACTTTACTTTATGTTTAAGTATTTACTAAATTAACTTTGTAAAGTCTATCAAATTTTTACTCTACCTTTATTTGTTTCAATTAATAACAACCACTTATGCTACTCCACTAATAATCAGAAAAGATCATTGTCTTCAACATACTTACAACATCAAATTTCTAAATATAATCTCTTCACCAAGGCCACAAAATAAATCGCAACTTCTTTTATAATAACATATATGAATCCGGCGCGTAGCGCCGGTACACCACTAGTAAAATATAAAATATAGTAGTTTATTTCTTAATCCATCTTGAGACTTGTATCAAATCTCCCAGATGCTCATTTATCAAACTGGACTAATTCTTTTCTTCTTGTTAGTTTAAAATTACTAAATTAAAATAATAAAGGAAAATTTATTTTTATGCTTTTTGCATGTTATTTTTAGGGGTTTTTGCCAAAACTAACCTACAACTTGGTTTTGACCCCAATACTAGACCCAAACTTCAATCAAATGCAAATCTAACCTAAAAGTGGTATGAAATTACAGTATAGTCCTTTGTGACCAAACAAAAAAACAGAAGATATTTTTACGAATTTAGCCCCTGTAAGTTGTCTGAGTCAGATTGAGCTAGTTTTCAG